AAGTCAAAATTTCCTTATAATAACAATAGGAGAGAGAATTAATAACATATTTGTACAAGTGGGTTGTGGGGTACTGGGGTTTAATGGGAGAGATATAATAAAATTGTAGTAGGCTTAACTCCTTGCTAGATAGGAAGTGTTGCCATTATTACTAAACGAGGATGTATATTATTAAAATAATATAATATGAATTTTCCTGAATTTATTTTGGCATTAAATAAAGTTTTTCTACATGCACTGCGTTTTCTTAAAATTGTGTAATTTTAAGGCTTATTAATTTTACTTTTTTTGGCTAGGGAATATTAAAATCTATATTTTTATACTACTGCAATTTTACAGGAAGCATTTCCTTCTGGTGCCTTATGGTCTATTAAACAAGCATTTTGAGAAATTGACACAGTGTGATATGCATCTTAATTTTCTGAGCCGGTAACCAGAAATTAATAAGTCTAGATCCTCCAAACTTCGATTTGCAGCCTTCTGTTTTTGACGACTCAAATGAATCTAAAAGTCATAGCTTGGATCAAATATAAACTAGCAGAGGACCTAGCATCTCAATCTTTGAAGATGTCGGAATACCTTTATCCTAATAATCATCTCTCTCAGTCAAACAAGTTATGGAACATCTGAGACTCTGTCTTGTGAAGCTACTTCTCCAAGCTCAGGTATCCTTTTTATCACCATGTCTGCTATGATTTAGACACCATTGATGTTGTTGTGTTTGTCCTAGACTTCTGTATTTGGAGATGGTGTCTGAAATTTGGCATGGATTCCTCAACAATTTTCTTGTTAGAATTTCTGTTTTCTTTCTTTGTACATCCTTATGTTGAATTTATTGTAGGATCTGTCAATATATCATACCAGAAGAGATTTTTATATATTTTATATTTTTCCGGGGGGGGGGGAGGATTGGAGGATGCCGAGACTTAGTATGTCTATTACGATTACTTTCATATAAGTTTACTAGCAATAATATCAAATATGATTTGGCCTGAACCGACCTGAAGCATACCCTATCATGACCTGAATTTTGTACCAACCAAAAAAACCTCTTTGCCACCTCTAAAGCAATTTGTGGTCATGCTTCTTGTTTTATAAATGTTCATTACCATAAAAATCCTATGCTTTAAATGGGGTAGGGGTGTAGGGCCGTAGGGGGGTGACTGCGACACTTAATATGTCTAATACGTTTTATTTAACATAGTAAGATTGTTGGCAATAGAATTAAATATGATTTGGCCCAAACTGACCTGATTCAGTTGAACATACCCAAACATGACTTGACATGGCCTGAATTGTACCACGTCTGAACAACCCATTTCCCACCTCTAGATGTATATCTGGTGAGCAATATATGGCCATGCTTCCTCTTTAAATGTTCATTATCTTAAGAATCCTTTGTTTTAAATTTTGGAAGGGCAGAACTATTTTATGTCTCAGTCTATCTCAGCCTCAGCATTCACTTGCTAGCTACCTAGGTGCCCGTGGTGTTGAGATATAATTCATCATGTTTATGATATCAATGGTCATCAATAATCTTGGACATTGGCTTTTAATTTACATTTGTTAAATTTCCTTCTGATCACCAAGTATTCATTTTAGTGATGGATGTGTGCGTAATGAAAGTTAGTTCGAGTAGCCAATCAGGAAAACCAAAGGAATTAAAAAGCGTTGAACAGTGAATTATGCATGAGTGACCCTGTGAATCATATTGGAAATTGCCTTACGAAACAGAGGAGTTCTGAGGTTTCTAAATTCACATAAGAAGGATCCAAGTCCCAAAATAAAACGATCGAGGAATTTACCCAGCACCCGACCATGTTCTGATGAAAATTCCTCATGTTAGAGACTCAAAGGTCAACTCTTGGTACTCCCTCATTCAGAAAGATGGTGCTTCTGTTCAGAGTTCTGATGTGACTGAAGAAAGTGTGGATGGAAAAGCCAATAACCATGAACCTTAGTTATTGGATCAGAATACAACTAATGAGGGTGACAACTACAGCTGGGGGAGATGGCGGCAATCAGACACCAAGCATGCCAATAATTGATCTTTTGGGGATATGCTCCTCCATCTTCCGCGGTTTGCTTCACTATCAAAGTTCTTGTTTGACATTTGTAAAGATGGGGATAATCAAAGGCGCGATAGAAAAATGAGAAGTTTACTCTTATACTATCATTGTTTACGGGTATTGCAGATTTTCTCAAGGGGTTTGATATATGAAGTGATTGACTGTGATGACTTTTGGAGACTGAATTCCAAACTGCACCTTGTAAATTGGTAGGATTCAAAATTTTGGGTTGATGATGAATCCCATTATATAATTATATAAAAGACGAACCACAGATGGGATAAGCTATAGTTTTTTTTTTTAAGTATCTTGTCTGCAAATATTAATGTAGTTTATCTTAGAACTTTTATTCTTTGAATCCCAACTGTGACCATTAAAAGTTCTGAAATATCATGCTAGTTTTCTCTCTTGATTGTGTCATTTTCATTCCTTAATTTATAAGAAAAAAACATTAGGAAGTCCATGTGAGAGAAACAGGAATTTGTGTCCAAAATATCTGCCAAACGCAGCGAGCATTACGCATAAAGTCCTCGAAAATTTATTCTTTTTCGTCTAAAGTCTGAAAACTTGGTTTTATTGGGCTACCATACCAACGAGGAAGTCTAAAGGCCTCACAATGCTGCACAAGCAAGTGCATCACAATGACATCTTCGTAGGGTGTAGGTATTAGTACGGCCCTACACTAGGTGTAGGTATTAATAATTAGGACAGGTCAGTGCAAAAGTAAAGTAGGCCATTAATAGGGCGAGAATGCTTTTATTCTCTGCTTCTTATCAAGATTGTTTAGGATAGTATATGAACATTGTTGACGTTATTTTACAAAAGTCAAAGGTATATGTGCATCATTGAAGCATAAAATGAACATACAGGGAACCTCTTTTAATTTCATATACTAGAAGTAGAAAAAGTAGATTGTTGCTAGCATTATTATTGTCAAATTGAGTGCATAAGTAGGAAGCTCAATGAGTCAAGCTTTAGCATAAAATTAACAGATATGTTTAGAAGCATAAATTTTAAGGTCTCAACTTGCTGCACATTGATCCGGGGATAGAAAATTCAGGTACAATTTTACAGACATATTTCTTTTGAGAATAAAAACCCCATGCGTAAACAACAGTAGTTCCATGTTTAACTTCTCCAGAAGTAGCTTAGCTCACATAAGAAAAAGTCAGCTCTATACTTAAATCTCAAGCAACACAATGATCTGTCTGAACCAAAAAATAAATCAGGCTTGCTACTAGTGTTGCAGACATCAGAGGGTATGCATCTAGTGGATCAATTCATTTATCGACCCCCTTCACCTACCTGCAAACTGCGTAATTGTATACATGATAAGAAAATAATCAGATAATAACGGAAATATCTATAACAAACTTATGTATAACAAAAATATATCTTTACATTGTAAGACAGCAAGCAAGAACGACATCTGATATTAAATTGGTAGTTCATTGTATTTAGGTGATATTAACTACTTGTATGTTTGATTGCTAAAGTCTATCCTTGATACAGAGAGTAATTATATAGCATATCTTAAAATCTATCAAGTTAATCATGTTTACAAAATATGAATAGCTGCTAACAAGATTCGATGAGGGAGTTGTGTTATATTATCTAGAAGGCTTAGCTGAAGCTGAGGATACACACATAGGTTCATACATTTCTCTGCCTCACATTGACCCCCAATGCCCACTACATTCTACAATTTTGACAGATTTTTTTGCCAACAGAACATCAGTGAAGCAATAGCCATAATACTCCAACTACAATTAGACAAAATACATCAATAACATCAACCTGCATTGACTTTTGCAAAGACTAATCTACACCCAGAGAGTTGGAACACAAACTCAGAGACATGAATCTTAGTACTCATAAACAATAGTAAAATACAATACAATAAGACATAACACATCAATTGGGAACTTTTCTGCAAAAACTAATCTACACGCAGAGAGTTGAATGCAGACTCATAGACATAAATCCAGTACTCCGTATGCATAATTTTATTTTAAACCTGTACATAACAAAATAATTTGATGGACGTTTCATAGAGATGAGAACATGGAGTGAAAATTCAGAATAAGATTATGAGATTTTTCAAAAAATGACGCAACTACAAAGAGAAAAAATATCAACTGAAACAGGAAACAAGAAAAGGAATAAGTAACAAGTGATGTACCGATAGTTGTCCAACCTTTTAGTTTCAGCAATGACAATGAATGTAATTATTATACGAGACTTCCAAAAGGAATTAGAAAGAAAATATTAAATGTTATAAGAATCATACAACATAATGTATGTGTAAAGACATTTAGTTTAATCTATGTGTCAATTAACAGTTATTTACAATGCCTTTTCACAGTAGTTTGTTGCATATTCCGCAAAAGTACGCCTAGTCCAAAAGTTCAATTACCCATCACCACCAATAAACCAAAGAAATAATGCCAAATTACGCACTTCTAGTCCACTACAACTCATGTAACAAGGAGTATCAAAAATTCCAAACATACAAATTAACTCATAAATGACATGCTTAATACCCAATACCAAAACACACTCTACACCCATCACATACACAATACCACTCAACAACCATCACGTGTGCAACACCTATCACATACTCACATCGTCAAGACACACAAGCAATAATACGAACCCTTTGCCCACACACCTCAAACACTATTCACACACAATGTAACCTAAAACAACCCGAAAACACCACACCAAAATAGCCCCCAAATCGATATCAAATGCTTACCAGGAACAGGAAATCAATATTGAGATCCACAACTTGAAAATCTTTTAAGAACATCTGAAAATGACTCTGTATATCCCCTGTTAAATTAAAAAGTGTTAAACAAAAATTTTAAACAACATAAAAGATGTACATTAGAAATAACAAAATATTAAATTCTTACCAACTAGAATTTTTTGCATAATCACACAGGGCGTCATAAAGTGTTGTATATATTGAAGGAAACACTTTTGTAATTAGACTTTCTCTTTCCTCAAGAGTCAAACCACCCTATAAAAGATAAAGATAAAAAAATTAGCAGCATGCAATAATTAATTAATATTTTCGTAAATAAAATAGAAAGAAAGTCATTACCTTTTTCCCGCGTATAGTATCATATTGATAGTCATTAGCATGGGAAAACACTGCATGAATAAAATTAATGACACGAAATGGTTTAACATAAAAGTTGCTGACAATAACAAGTCATTTGAGACTTCAATCCTCCAATTTTGAGTCCTAAAATTCGGAGTCATTTCATTATTGAAAGCCTTCTCATTGATTAACCTTTCTTTAATAGCCACTTCAAGAGACTGGATGAATGAAACCCGATGATTTATCGACCAGATAAACGGGTGATCAATCAACATTGGATGAATGTTATCACATCTGTTAGAAATAAAACATAAAATTTTTAATCATACAAGTATACCTATTTATTAAAAAAAAAAAAAACTTTATAAGTAATGTACAGTTGCAGATAACAAGCTTTTTAATAGTTACATAAACAAAATATACAAAGTATAATATTAGCATAAACTGAACTTATAATGAATAAAAAGAATATAAAAACAGATTTAAGGGAAATTTACTTACATTTTCCTGACTCTTAAGCTGTTTAAAAAATGACCTAATTCTAAAGGCAGTTCATAAGATAGCTCAAATTCTTTACGCCAAGTTTCCAAATCTGGTCTTGATCTTGGTCTTATCAAAGTAATGACTCCTTCAATAATGGACAACAAATCAGACACTTCTTTTTGCGCTTGACTGAATGTAAATTTTTCTTGAGAAATATGCAATATTTTGGCTTCTCCCCTCCTCAGTAACGTAGAGTGATTTTTCCAGATCACTACAGACTTTTTGATCTGAATATATGACAAGCATGCCACATATTACGCCTCTACAATACAATAATATATTATTAAATTTCATTCATAAAATAAAAATATAATAAATTAACAAAGTAAATTTTTTACCGAAAATTGATAGAAAGTCGTCTTTGATATATTCCCACCATTTTTTACAAGTTTGAGCCATTGCTTCCGATTTGAAATCTTCAAGCTTCAATTCAAAGAACACTTTTACTGGACGGACCGGCTCAACAATTGCTACCCTACTGGAAAGGGAGTGGAAATACATTGAAAATTCAATTTTCAATAGGCATGAGTTTTTCTTAAGCCTAATTGAGACATCTGAAGTAGAATTCTCGCCAATTTTGATATACGACTTGGGAAAAGAACTCCCGCCTATCTTCATTACACCAAGATATGAAAATTCATCAAGCTGGGTCATTTCAAAGTATATCACACCATCCTCTGTAAACTGTAAATATATATTTATCAATACAGAATAGAGAAAATGTTTAACAAATAAAACGATACATATTGTTCTAGACAACTCTTGATCCTTGTGCAATAACACTGAATCTAGACAACATATGTTCTTTAACTGCTCTTGCAATCATTATTGTTTTACTGTTCTATAGAAAATGGCTTAAAATCTCTAACTTTGCTTATGTTGAAGATTGTAACAGATAGCTTATTTCAAATTGATATATTAAAGATGTCTCGCTGGTTTAGTATACTATATTTGCAGCAAAGAAACAAAGCTATGTAGACTTTTCATCATGATGATCATACACATGTAACTAGTCCTCCGAAACAAAATATGCATTATAGAATTTACAGATTTCTTCCAGGAACTAGTAGTGATGAGCTAATGATGTTAAATGGTTGAGAACTGTATTTAAACATGTAGTCTTTTAACTCTTAGTGTTTGTTACGCTTAGGTCTTGAATGTAATGGCTAATCAGTGACCTAATAATATTTTTTTGTTCTTTCCAAATAAAAAAAATCATAAAATTAACGAAAAGTTGAGAAGAGATTACCTTCATCATTTTTTGGGAAGAGGCATCCACACCCAAAGATGAGGGATCCAAGGTCAAAGAAGGGATCGCCAAAGTCGAAGCGGACGCAACCAAGGTCGAAGTGGATGCAGCCTTGGTCGGAGTGGATGCAGCCTTGGTCGGGTGGATGCAGCCTTGAGTGGAAGAGGTCGCAGCCTTGGTGGAAGAGGAGGCAGGAGCCTTGGTGGAAGAGGAGGCAGCACGCTCATCATCCAAAAATTTACTAGCTCTTTCCACTGCAATTCTATCCAAATCTGGTTGAACTTTCGGTTGTAGTCTTTTTATCCATTTGAGACAGTTTTTGAATGCTTCATCATCTACACAGACTGCACCCTTCTGATCATGCACATATTTATAAAGGAGATATGCTTCCAAAATATTATTTTGCTTTCTGTTAGCATAACTGCAAGGCATTTTAAAAAATTTAATTAATGTCAACGTGATTAAAGATGACTAACTATTGTCTACTGTATTGTCTGTATAGAATCAATTCAAATAAATATCTTGTAACAGTTACATCATCCTGATAATTTATCAAAAATCCTTAGAAAGGAAGATAATAGACTTACGCAAACATAAACCATTCACCAAGTGCCAAAGTCGTTTTATGTCCAAATTCTTCGAGTCGTTTTTGCAAAGCCAATACCTCTGATCATACAAAATTAAATGAAAACATTAAGATAAATGAAGTACAAAATAATACAAATTTACAATACAAATAACACAAATATGCTTTCCAAATTTCTGGATAAGTCTTGATTTAAACAGTTTAACCTAGTCAATATTTGTTAGCTTTCTTTATCTCTCAAGTTGTATATTTCAAGATTAATATTCGCTTGCATTTCTCTATTGTTTCCTTAGGAAACTGAAAATGTTGTATTTATCTTTTCCAAGCTTTCTTTCCCTAAGCCTTAAAGCCACTCACTTGTAAAAAGAAAATAATCAAAAGCTTTCCAAATCTTACCGATCCTAGTAGAAAATAAGAATTAAAGCAAACAATAGACCATACTACATCAAACCATTTCATTGGAGGAAAATAAACTTACCTTCAAACCGTTTCAAACCTACAAGTGCATGCACTTTCATAGAATAGACTTTTAAATTTTTCAACCACTCATCATCAAGAGAAATGATAAAATCCAAGCACTCTTGTAATCTTTCTTGCTCCCACAAAGCTGAAATCTTCTTTGTTATTTCATCCTCTGAAATTTTATCCTTTGAATTCTTTTTCTTTTGCTGCCGTTTCTTCTTTGTAGCACCTTGAGTCATTTTCTTCACTCTGATTACAAGGCAAGTCATTGATAAGAAGCTAAAAAATTGACATCGCTTTACCACTCTTAACTAAACTCAAGTTATGAAAGCTACTACAACACTAACATGACTAAATCAGCCCATATAACTCAAACAAGACATAGGAAGAACAATCTTTTATATTAACAACACCACACAGGGATCAAGTGATCAACAGCAGCCCCGCTGAGATAGAACCAAGACAGCAGACCACAGGAATTTCAAGAAGGCATGAAACCTAGCACACAATTCCAAATCAAGAAATTCTTGAGCCTAGATTGAATAACTTTTCAAGATCTACAACTTTCATGAAGGAACTATGGGCTAGAAACGTCTGCAGGTCTATTATTATGGGACGAACAGAACTGCAGCTGCAGGGCAATTGCAAAATAAAAGCAGTAGCAATACAACAGGCAGCAGCAGGATTATATAACAGGCAACAACAATTTCAGCAGCAGGTAAACAGAATAATAGAATATAGCAGCAACTAGACAACAAAATTATAGCAGAAGTAATAAGTTACTAACATTCAAGCAACAATACTACTTCGTTAACAATAACATTATTTCAACCTTTTCTACATGTAATGTCAGCAACACTCACATACAACAATAACATTATTTCAACCTTTATAAGCAAAAAGGCAAGACATCCAAGAGTAAATAAATTTATGCTGTCCCAAACATGAGCTTCACGTGGAGATCGATTCTAAGTGCTAGGGAGGTAATTGAGAAGGGTGCCATAAAGACTATTGGTGGGGGAAGTAGTGTCGGTGCCTAATCTCCTAAAGTTCCGAATTCTGTCACAAATGAAGGATGGTAGTGATGTTCCAATGTATGTCAAAGATCTGTGGGAAAATCAGAGCTGGAATTGGACTACTCTCTCTGAGTTATTCTCTCAGCGGGAAATTGATGGAATTTGTAGTATTCCAGTACCTCTGTTTGATGAGGAAGATGTTTTGGTCATGGCATCACTCGAAAGATGGGCGTTACAGCGTAAAGAGTGCTTACAACCTCTTGGTCGAAGAAGAGGTAAAGGATAAGGCAACCTCGTCAAATGGGCATGTAGTTTTTAATTGGAAGAGTATTTGGCATGCCCGTATTCCACCAAAGATCAAATTATTTGTGTGGAGAAGTGTGAGGGAGGGCTGCCTGTTATGAGCCGGTTGATGGCTAGGGGTATGAATGTAGATCAACGTTGCCCTATGTGTGGGGAGGGAGAGGAAACTACTGCTCATACGCTTCTCTTCTGCCTGCAGCATCCTCTATTTGGAGACATTCTGCCTTGCGGCTTGACACAAGGGCATTTGATGCTGATGGGTTTCGAGGTTGATGCAATCTGATGTATGGAAAGATCAAGGAGACGAATTGGTGGGATATTTGGTGCCTGGCGTGGGGAATCTGGTTGAAACGCAATGCATGGGTCTTTGATAAAAGAGAGAAGAGGGAGGCTGACATTCTTTACAAGACAATGTGCTTGGTGGGAGAGTTTGAAGAAGCTAATGCGAATGCTGATATGGGGATGCAAGTGCAGTATTTCAGCTCTAGATGGAAGCCTCCTGCTGCTGGTCTGTATAAGCTAAACACAGACGCAGCCTTCCAAGGTCAGTGGCTGGGAATTGGTGGGATATTGAGAAATGAGGAGGGGACTGCTGTGGTAGCCTTTTGTTCGAAAGAGAATGGGAAGGTAGATGTTGCTGTTGGTGAAGTGATTGGTATGAGATCCAGCCTAAAGATAGCCATGGAAGCGGGCTTTAGGAACTTTATCCTGGAAACTGATAACATTAAGTTGTTCCACCATCTGAAAAAGGGCTCCATATCTCCTTGCTCTTTTGGCAATTTGGTGAGGGATATTCTGATGCTTGCTAGAAGCTGTCAGAGTTGTGTTTTTTCTTTTGTTAGAAGGTCGGGTAATATTGTTGCCCATAGCTTAGCAAAGTTGAGTTTCAATTTTAGTGAATATCGTGTTTTGGCTTGAAGAGTACCCAACTGAAATTCAGGGGGCTTTATGTCACGATATTGAAAACTTGGTTGAAATAATAAATTGAGCTAAGATGCGTTTTTTCGTCAAAAAAAAAGAGTAAATAAATTTATACTCCATATATACCCAAAAAAATCAGAGCCTTCAAATATGGCAAGTTTCACAAACCAAAAAACGGCAAATTTCACAAATCGGCAAGTTTTTATTCAACGTTTAAAAACCAAAAAAAAACGGCAAGTTTCACAAATTACTCAAATTTCAAAACAAAATATGGCAAGTTTTCACAAATTATCTACATCAAGATCAACAGGGTAAGTGGGTAACCAAAGCATAAAAGGCAAATATCAAGCTCAAACCAGAAAACCCCCGCATGTTCTTCAAAACCCAAAACAGAGGAAAAAAAAAAAAACAACCTTATTTAAACAATATTAAGAATCAGAATAACAAACTACTCAACGTTTAAAACCAAAAATACGGCAAATTCACACATTACTCAAATTTCAAAACCAAAATATGACAAGTTTCACAAATTATCTACATCAAGATCAACAGGGTAAGTGGGTAACCAGAGCATAAAAGGCAAATATCAAGTTCAAACCAGAAAACCCCCGCATGTTCTTCATAAACCCAGAACAGAGGAAAAAAAAAAAACCTTATTTAAACAATACGGAGTATAAAGCAACAGTAGATGAACGAAATTCCAGAGAAATACAAAATAAGATATTTTACCATGTAAAATCAACTTGATCAAACTCAAAAACCCTAGAATGAGAGAATATGAAGCAAATAAAAGCAACCCACAAATTAAAAAAAAAAAAAAACACATATCATACAGACATACACCATACTAACAAAAACAAGCTCATTAAACTTAGAAACAACAAAAAAGAAAGAAATTACCTCACAAGAAAAATATGATGACCCAAATGAGGAGAGAGAAAAAGGTTTTGAAATTTGACTACTAAAAATGGCAAAGAAAAATAAAAGAAGAAGACAGAGTTTTCATGAAAATGGAGGTTTTTTTTTTTTCTTTTTTGTGGAAATGGAGTTTTAACATGTAGAATTGGTAGGATTGTAGGAAGAACCGAAGAAGTAAAACCTATGAAATGATGGAGAGAGTTGGGCAGCAGAAATTACAACGCCAATAGCCCAATATTACCACCATTGTCAGTTCGTCCACTGCCCATGAACTCTAGTGACTAGTCGTTTCACATAATTATAATTGTACTGTGGAGGACTACGTAATACTCCGTAACATGTTTTTTTTTTTCTCTTTCTTTTATATTTGTCTATGGAGTATGTGTATTTAAACATCAATTTATTTTTTGGTAAGTATACGTGTTTTAAAAATTACATATACAATTGATAAAAGTTGACACGACATGAATTAAATAAGAAAAAAAATGATTATTGTTAAGGGTTTTTAATACATGTAATTAAACGGGTCAACATGATATGACACATTTAATTAAAACAGATCAGTATTGATATTCTCTAACAATACGTTAACCCGACTCAACCCATCTAATATAAAAACCCTATAATTTATATAATTATTGATATATTATATAGAATAAGGCTAATATTTTTCATACAACACGATACGAACCGGACACGAAAAAGTGAGTTAGTGTTAAATGTATTCAACACTTTTAATCAATCAGATTAACACGTCCTCAACTTGTTTAATTTCCGACACAAACAGACACGACATGATTGCCAGCCCTAGCTACATATAGTGCTTGTTTGGTTGCGTTGGAAATTAAATAATCATGCTAATTTACATTTCTTAAGAAATAATTTCTTTCATATATTTTATTTTATAAGAATTTGATGGTAATTTATATTTCTTAAGAAATAATTTCTTTCATATATTTTATTTCATAAGAATTTGATAAACTTGTTTGGTTGACATATGATAATTTGCATTTTTTGTAAATTGTGAATGACTTAGGGTAAGTTAGGTACAAAGTAATTACTATTAAAAAAGGGGGGGTGGAGTAATTAACTTCCTATGATTGGTAGGACCTCAAAATTTCCAAAAAGTTACAATTAGCCTATTTGTACGGAGTATATTTCATGCTAAACAAGCAACAAGATATCTAAGCATTTTATAGGAATTTCTCTTGCCTATATTAAACAAGTACAACCAAACAGCTCATATCATTTTCATCATTTTCTTAAATTTGTTTCTTTTACAAAAAAAAAAAAAAAAAAAAAAAAAAAAATGCTTATTTCATTCCGCCAATGTTGGAATTGCATATGATCGTAAAGTCTTTATAAAGTTATTTGGTTATCGATGTGAGAAGTAATTTTTTCATGAAAAATTCTATCTACCTAAGGGATTAGGTAATTGAATTCCTACCTTTTGTAATTTTTTTTCACTTATGTCATTTCCTCTTCGTTTTTTTTTCAATCAAACAACTCCCCCTAATTACAATTTTAAGGAATTTCTATTTCTCATTTTTTTTATCTACAAAACGAAAAACTAATACCCCATACTATGTACTCTGCGATTAAATTAAAAGGTTAATGTACAACAAATAAATGGAGAATCCATCCTTTCTCCTCTCTATTTGTGGGTTTAGCCTCTATATGCAGGGACCAATCTGGAGATTGGGTCTTAAAGATAGTCTCCCACATCTGTTGTTGTGTTAACCCACTACAAGTTGAAATTCTTGCAATTTTATCAGCTTTTTTCTTAATTAAACAAAAATGATGAACCCATGTCACAATTTAGTCAGATTGTCACAATTAGAGCAAGATCAACTCTAATTCTATCTAGAATTTGTAACCTCCCAAATTAGAAACTTTTGAATGCTTGTTATGTACTATGTATTAAACAGAAGTTCTACTTAATCTGATGCTGAAACTAGAAACAACATTGTTTTAACTGCTCTAATGGCATGTATATCTAATTTGCTGTATGTTTAATATAGTAATTTGAGAATCACCATCTAGTTCGACACTGGTCAAGTACCAAGCACTGACTTAGAGCATTTCATTAATTTAAGTCAAGTTCTGCGAAGGATAGAAGACCTTAGGGGAAAGAACCCATACAAACTTTCTCGGAGCACTTACTAGTGTCCCACCTAGCCACTAAATGGGCAACCGTATAATTAATTATATGCTCTTTTTACATGAGAAAATATACAAGTATTAAAAGACATAACTATTCTACGTACATCATCGTAAATAAGCCTTATAGGAGACCATCTAGCAGCAGACCCTCTAATGGTGTTGATTACCCTTCCCCTACTCCCTTTTGACTCCTGATCATACACTTTCGTAACCCAATCTCTTAGCCATTTGACACCCTAACAGCAGCCACCTCCGCCAATTCCACATTCCAGTCCATAGGAGTCTTCTTATCCGCAGCCCATAATATGCGGCCAAAGTGATCCCTCGCAACAGCACCTAGACCACCACTTGTGCCAGCACCAAAGTGAGCGTCAACATTTATTTTAATTATACCTTCAGGTGGGCAGCTCCATGTAGCATCTTTTTCAAGTGGGTATTGAATACTCTAGTCTCATACAGCGAGTAATCACAAACAAGCTTCAAAAAACTAGCAGCAATAATACCCATATTCAGCGATATTCCTTCAAACAGGAGCTTATTTCTGCAAACCAAATAATAGACCAAGTTGTAGCCAAGATGGTACAGTAATAAAATAATCAAACACAAGATCAACAAATAAAGTTCGTTAAAAGACCAACTATCAATTAAACCGACTCAAAATAATAACAAACAACCAAACTATCTTCATTAAAATTGCTACTCCATAATTTCCAATTTTCACTCAGCAATACTCACAATTTCAGCACAAACCCACAAATTCTTTTTTTGTTTTTTTTTTTTTTAAGAAAAAAACCCCATAATAAACTTAATAAAGTACAGGAGAAAAATCACAATTAAAATAATAGTAAAATTAAATTGATTTTTAGATAACAAAAAGGCCACTTAAATTTGAGGGAAAGAAAAGGAGAAAACATGTCTCACAATTTAAGGTGTTGTATTTCTTGCTTTCATATTCACTGTCCTTGTTCCGTCTTTTTCTTAGACGTTGTTGCGGCTCCTCCTGATCGCGCCCACAGGTCAGCCACCGTTGCTTTGTCCTCTTTCCATTGTTGCGGTTGTCGATGATGTGTTGCTGTCGAGACATAAAATTAAAAGAATTTGAGGATGATTAGATTAAAGATTTTTCTACAACACTCAATACCCATGGTGTTATAACTTTCAATATTTTCTACAACACTCAAATGCCCATCAAGGGTTTATTTTCATAACCTTTTGTATCCTATGTTACTACCTTAAATTGCCAAGAAGTATAGTTTACCAGATCAAATCTTTTTTACCAAAGAGACATCATATCACAGTGTTGGTGGTCCAACAAGCAAAGATGAAATTCAAAATTCAAACCGATCATTTAAAAAACGTACCAAAATTCAGAAAACCAAAGTAAAATTACAGAAAGAAACTGTCAAAAGGCCGTATAAGATCGAAACAAAGGGAAAAAAAGTAAGGCAAATAAATAGGAAACAGTTAAATACGATTGATTGCAGAAGAACATACCTGATTTGGGTTTGATATCTTCAAAGGTAACACCAAATTGTACCCGATCAAGGTCTATACAGCTCAATTTCTGTATCAAATTCGAAAAAACAAGATCAACAAACACGCATACAAAGCAAAAACTCCAGTGAACCATAAAAATATTATAACAAATTGAATAAAAAAAAACCGCCTTTCTGTCGCAGCCAATGAAAGGGGTGGCCCAAACAACCGTCGTAGGGAGGCGTTCTCTAGGATGACTGGATGAGTGACTACCCTAAAACCTCCGAACTTTCTCTGAGGAGAGAGAGAGAGATTGAAGGAGAAAGGTAAGGGCTGACCAGCTGAGGAGTAAGAAAGAGTTCAAGGGTAATAAAGCTGAGAACATTTCATTTCTGTAATAGAAACCACAAACACTGTTCCTAAGCACAGTCCAGCAAGTTTTGCCTTTTATACTCTCTTCCTCACCCACCCCCTCCCCCTCCCCTCTGCTACCCCTTCCCCCTGCCACCCCCATTCCCCCCCCCCCCCCCCCCCCCCCATTCCCTTCCTCTCCCTACTTCCCTCCTTTTCCCTTGGATGTAAGATATTTACACTAATTAATAAATACAAGTAATATATAAGTGGTAGTACTTTATATATAAAGGTTCAATATAGAGATCTCAAAAACAATTCTGAATTTGCCTTAACCACAAAATACATTCATATTCTTGTCTCTGTGATTGTCCGCCGTGCCTTTAAGAATAGTCAGGCCTCAGGCCCAAGCTTTCTAATAGCTTCCGCTATCTCCAAATTCCAGAAAATGATTACAATCCTCACACCTGTAGATACAAATAAGAAAACTATAAGGCACAAGATGTTGCTTCAATTCTTTCTTTAACAATTTTTGAAATAATAAGATCAGCACAGTACAGCACAGTGTGATAGTCTCTCTCACTGCATTTCATTGACTGAAAAAAAAAAAATTTGCTAGTCTGGCTATAAAGTAAACATCATCTTGAGATGGAGGTTACCAAAAAAATGTTGATCACATTTTATATATACATCTTGAGTAGAAACTTCAAGGTGTATGAGGTTGGTGAGCAAGGGACATCGACAGCAATTACGAGTTGCTGGAATTGTTGCAGCTCCGCTACCATGTATACCCCAGAATCTCGGAATTTTTATTTTTTTCGATTGATTGAATTTCATTTTGAGGTCTGTATAAAGAGTATACCTAATTTGCTCAAAATTCCAAACAAACCTGATAAACCATCTAGGATATTGATCTTCAAATCTAAGTCCAATAAGAATCCTAATTAGATTCATGATTAAACACTATTTGAGGTATTATTATTCTATGATTAAAAAAACAAACATCTTAATTAATGAGTTTGAGCAAAGACCCAGGAAAGAAAAAGGCATAATTTTTCAGAAATGAGAATTTTTACATCTTATTTAAGCACAACAAAATTGAAAGAGAGAAAATACATTACAAGTTAATGAGCTTAATCTATATTATAAGTGGAGAAAATATGTTATAGACCTGTTACCCACCTCCACCAAGCCACCATTGTGGGTGTACACAAGGAAGTAAAGTGGAAGAGGGGACAAGAATCAACCACAGCAGTTGGCAACTGCTACTCTTCAGCACATGAAGACAAGGGTCATTAAGGAAACACTTAAGAAAGTGGCAACATGGGTGTGATTTATGAATTGCTAATGTGCTGAAGAAGACAAACACCAATCAATGTTAGGTTAACCTTTTGTAATTGGTAGCTTGAGTATATAAGTAGTAGTAAGAAGCCAGTAGAAATTATGTGAATTGTGAGGAAAATTGTTGAGAGAATGGTAACCTCAAGTTACTAAGAGAGTAATACCCTAATGTTATCAAAGAGAGTGATGACCTAGAGCTATTAACCTATCTCTTTGTAACGTTATTAGCCATTATTAATCAAATTTTAAGCTTTCATCTTTATTTATTAGCCTTGTTAAATCAGAAATACAAGCCTGATGATTTAGTCTATAACAAAATCAAGAGAATTGGGATCGAATTGGATCAGAAAGAACCTTAGCTTGTCAGTCATACTTTCACCACTTCCTGCAATCAAATCAAACAAAGAGCTTAATTCAATTCAATTAGAAAAGCTAGTGTTAGAAAAAAAAAAAAAAAGCAGAGAGAAATTACGGCCAATAAACATAAAATTAAGATAAGCATAATTTTTTAACAATCCAAAGCTTTTTAATATGTTAGCTACACAATTTATCACGCTCGATTTTTCGAGTTTTTTTTTTTCCTTTTCTTTTTTTTGAGATGAAACACTCGACTTCAAAAACCATTTCTCCTGGTCACTGCAACCAGTGTTAGGGGAAGAGAGACACAAAGAGGGAAGAAGAAAAGGTAACTAACAAAAGTACAACCATGGTACTTCAAACATGTCACCTTTGGTGTGCTCTTGGAGACAACTTGAAACAGACAAGAGAGCTTTCTTTACAGCTTGAAAATTTCCTGCCATATAAATTTCAGGAAAAGAGTTAATAATAATGTAGAAAAGGCATTTAAAACAGAGCTATGAAAAATCATGGACTGGTGACATTTTAGGCTTATATATGTCTTGTGTCATCCAATGCACAGCACTTCTTGATCTTAAACACTATTCCTATAAAGCAGCAAAAAAAAGACATCAAGGAAATCTACTTTGACATTGATCAAAATAGATCATAGTCTCCTCTTCATACTAAGACCCAAATAACTATACTCAGATGGACAGCATATATACATTAGTGTGGAAATATGTAGTACATTCTAGGCATATTACAAAATTCTTAAAAATGCAGAGTAAAGACACGAGATACAATCAATATAACTGGTAATGAAGTGGATTTCTCTAAGTCAGTTTAAGCAATACCATACCACCGACTTCTAGAATCAGCTTTCAGTTTCTGTACCTCTTATCTAACTGGGGCACAACGAAACAAACAATCCAAAATTGAACCAAAATTTATATCAACAAACTTAAAGATCTATCCATGAATTTATTCCACAAATTCAATTCGATTTCAATTTCATGACATTGCAAAACCTAGACTAGTAACCCCAATATCTTTATACCATATACTAATTCAAACATTAATACAAATGTCAATAACAATGGATGATTGATTAATTGAACATAATTCACAAGAAGTAGAATTATTGAACAATGCGACCTCCAATTCACCAATATATAACACAAAACTTAGCAGAATTAGAAATTGTAAAATATCAAATTTAACACTAATTCAACATAATATTACAGCAAGAAATCAATAATGATTGACAAAATAGTACTCACCTCATAAGCAGCGAGAATTTGGATGAAACGTTTCGAATCAGCAGTATCAGTATCCGCAGAAGAAACGAGGTCAGGGTGCGTTTCTTTAGCAAGCTTTCTAAAAGATGCCTTAATCTCCTCATAAGAAAAGTGCTTGACCAAGCCCGTAAAAAATGCACGCCCAAACCCAATTAGTCACTTATAATAATATGAACATTTAATAATAAACAAACTACAAACAAGTTAAAAAATACAAAATATGAATACAGTAGGAATTACTACTATCAATACATCACTTTTTAGGAATTACCGCCCCCAATGATTTTTTTTTAAAATTTACCACCCACCTTCAAATCTTCAAAATATCAATTGTTAAAACACGATCGGATTAGGCAAGTGTAACACTTTTTAAAACACGGAGGGAGTACCACCTTCACGTCATGTGGGGCCCATCAACGCGTTTTCTTTTCTATTTCCCTCTCGATTCTCCGATTTACACTCTCTGTTCATCACTCTTCCTAATATTCTCTATGAATTTGTGCGAAAAATCCAATTATTGCATTCAAGTATGTGTAATTGCTTTAAAAAAAAAGTATGTGTAATTAGGATTTTAAAATCCCAAATTGATTGCAAAAACCCTTATTACACATTAATTGGAAGTTTTACCTAAACTAAGAGAGAATTTTATGAAGAATGAAGAACAGAGAGGGAGAATCGAGGGAAGGGGAGGAAAAAAGAGGGAAATAGAACAGAAAAATTCGTTGGTGACCCCACATGACGTCGTCAATGAAGGTTTGGGCAAAGTAGTGGTGGTAAATTTGATGTTTTGAGATTTTGTAGGTGATAAATTTTTTTAAAAAAATAAATCATTCGAGGTGGTAATTCTAAAATGTGATGTATTGATGGTGCTATTTTTCAAATTTTCCTTTAGTATTAAAATATGTTTATTAATCCCTCCGTTTCGATTTAGTTGCAACATTAGAATGTTCACCAAATTTTAAAAAATGTATAAGGTGGGGCCCAAAAGAGAATTTTTATAAAATAAGTATGGGAATTTATCAATGATAACTTGTGATTTTGACTTATATCTTTGCCACACATCATTAAACTTTTATTATCAATGATACACCCGAATATAATCCTAAATAACTACCGTAAGCATAGAGATAATCATGGCTTTGAAATATAATGGCTTACCGTAAACATCATATTAACCTGACGTTAGTATTCTTAGTAATACACGCTTTAATTAATTGGAAAACAATGAAAACACCTACTGCCCCTCCTATTTACTCTCCATGCAACTTTCCCTCCCACATTTCCTTCCTTTATTTAATAGTGTGTAGCAAAGATGAAAGCATACCAGCAAGGAAATAAGACTTATTTTTAAGCATACCAGCCAGGCTACTACAATTCCAAATATACAACATAGACTAATAACACGAGAGTAGCAATTTAATAAAAGTCTACATTGTCGGATCCAAGGTGAATACATTAAGTACTAATAACATGCCTTAATAAAATCATGATTGCAATTGCTGCTACAATCGCTATTGCAGCTAAAATAAACACATATGACTTTCAACATCAACGCAGCTCTTCACAATTCCAACTTAGACATGAAGCTCGTTCATTGGCCCTCAAGTTGCAACAAACCTATCTGCAGGTAGGCACGCAAAACAACAAATGAGAAGTTCAGAACTTACATAACTTTTTATGCTAAAGGCATAATAGACTTTCCATATCACAAGGTGATAGCTGTAGAAGTCAAACTATACTATGAGAATTCTGGTGCATTTTCTTATACAGGAACCTTACAATGAATAAATGAAGAGCAGTACTAGTATTCCGGAAGATGCTTCACTTAAGGCATTCCTAGATTGAGGGCTTCTTCACTTATTGGAGGCATGACTTTTAAGCTATCAATCAATGGTTTGGCTGCTAGAACTCATACTAAAGCCGTACTACTTCACAACAACTGTTCACAACCTTTTGCTTAGGAGTTGAACACCCATCAGTACTAGCACAGGTTGTGTTCAAATACAACCAGCTAGTATAAGCTTGTTTACACACAGAAAAAAAGGAAGATAGTTCTACCACCCAACCCAACTAGGAAAACAACCCACAATCATGTATGACTGATATAGACTGAAATCTTCACAGTGATAGGCAATAATGTTTTTATGGAACTTCTAAATTGTAGAGAAATTCAAAATTAAGATGTCATGCCAATACCAGACAACAATTTAACCTTCTTTTCTTATCAATTCTTAAGATTACACATCCATCACAACTCATACGCTTAATTCTACATTTTGTAATGATTGCTTAATTCTGCATTATATTAATGAGCATACATAAGGAAAAAAAAAATTGAAAGGAGACATAGGAAACGGAAGAAATGGAATATGGTTCAGGTTCATTATCCATAATGGACTCAAAACCTACCCTCAACTCCAAGACCCTAATAAACATGGTAAGAGTGATAACATTTTACGCAGAAACTGGTATTAAAATAGCCCAACAGGTACAATATGAAGTTCACCCCAAATACGAGAGAGCAGGGGACAGGGAAGAGGGTAGATACCTTGAAGGAAAGCTTAAAAGACAGAGTTAGACTAAATGAAGGCCTGACTCAGGACATAGATCAACTATTGAACAGTAATGAAAAACACGAGTAAAAATCAACAACTACTCATCTCATGAGTCGGAGAGACAAATGTGCAGCATTACAGGCAAAATTCATTCACCTCTACTTTTCAACCAATTTCATGTTCAAGAGAAGCTTAAACGATAGAAAGTAGGCTTGATTGATTCATGACATGTTTGAACTACTGAACAAGCAATGAAAATGTTGAGGAGCATTTAGGCTCCATTTGTTTTGACAGAAAACATTTTCTAAAGGTGGAAAACAATTTTCACAAAGGTGGAAACTAATTTTCTCTAAAGTGAAAAATATTTACAGTATGCCACACTTTTCTTCCCACTCTTTACATTCTTCTTCTATCCTCTTATCCATTCTCCCTTTCACTCTCACTTTCCCTTCCTTATCTTTTACTTTTTTAATTCTTTAAAATATTATTATTTTCCATGAAAAAATCATTTTCCCAAAAAATTTGTTTTCCTTAAAAACAAACAGAGCCTTAGAGGTGGGAAACAAATAAGCAATTTTTAAAGTATAACAATAATTTGCAAGAAGGTTAACATATATAGAATTATTGTCAATAGTCAAGGGTCTTGTAAATGATAATGATCAAGAACATATTACAATTGAATATAATGATCATAGAAATATAAAGTAATATTTAAGAATATAATGATCAAGAACATATTACAATTGAATAACCTTAACAAAAGCTTAGCTAGCTAACATACCTAGACAGGGAGGTAGAGAAAAGTACTGCAGCGAGAGGGGAGATTATAATGTTGGGAAGAAAGCGGAGTGACAAGAATCTCCTTAGAGTTGGCATTCAAGTTGACGAGTTGGACTTTGAATTGGACAATATGATCAAAGGCGGGGTTCTCGTCCCAAGGAATAGCGGAAAAGATCAAGCACAGCACGCCATTGCCCCGATGTAATAAGGTATCATATCTGGTATAAATAAGATAAGATCGATAGTCGGCTTTAGCCTCAGCCTCAGGGGACAGTCTTACGTTCAACCATTCTTTAGAGACTGTATCATAAGCCCTAAAGAATGCCTTCATTCTAGGATTATGAATATAGATAACCCCATCGTCTGCGATAGTCACGGCCTCTCCCCACCTTTGCCATCCACCTTTAAGGTCCTCAACCAGACACCGCCATTGATCCTCACATGGATAATAGGCATACATCGTTGAGATATACTGGAAGTACACTATGATTCTGTTTCTTTTGTGATCCGCCATAACCGGAAGAATTAGTGTGCGGTAATCAAACAACTGATCCCCATCACCACACGGTGGCGGTGGGAACGGAGGCGACTTTAAGCGACGCCAATTATTATGTTGAGGATCGAAAACCTCGCCAATAAAACCAGATTCGGAGTTGTCAAAAACATATATCTTCCCACCAAATTCGACGATACCTTCTGGCCACGCCTGATTGGCCCTTACGGCTGGTGACTGATCGAGCCCAGCGGTGGCTAGTCTCCAACCATCTTTAGGTTTGGTAAGATCTAGCATATGACATGAGAATAAGCCTTTCTGTTTCCTCTTACCTTTCTTGGGTTTTTGATTTTGCGGAATCATCACCGTCACCGGAGGAGAACGATTTGCCGCCCCCAAAAACATAAAGTGTAGATCCCACAACACCCACGGGAGGCTCACAACCATTACCAACCACGATACGAGGAAGTGATGAGACTTCCGCAGTGTTCAGATCCAAAACATAGTAAACAATTTCACAACAATCACGAGGTGCTATAAGTAAAGGGTTCCTGGGTTCAATCACCACGCCCCCTACTATCATCTTATTCTTCAATTCCCCTCTCTTTTCCACCACCATTTTTTCCGGCATCGCTCCCTCTCTTCAATTCAATTGATACCTAACACTCTAACACCCCCAATTTGCCACACTTGCGGTTGCGGCCCTAGATGCCTTTATTTATATGCCTTTATTTATACGAAGCCTACGCAATCTAGGGTGGGCTTCTCTTGGGCGGGTAATTGCGGGTTACCTTCTTATCAACAATGATTCATTGTGGCAAATGTGGCAATATGACCCCCTAACTTAGATTCATAGTGTAATTAACCCCCTTAACTTTACAATGTGACATTTTAACCCCATTAGTTTTAAATACGTGAAATTAAGTACAAATTCAATTTTCCGGCCAAATTATCACCGGAAAATGATGACATGGCACGTTATGTATATCAGATTTTGATATTTTTACTATATACACAAATAAATACAATAAAAATATATATATTTTACCATTGTATACATTTAAAATAACATATATTCTGATTTTCCCCAAAAATACATATAATAAAGAGAGACAAACTTTTAAATAAATCGGATGTACAATAAATATTGTACATCCATTATAAAATTACCCCTAAAATGAGCAAAAGTTACCCTACTATGAATAAAAGTTACTCAAACATAAATAAAAGTTACGAAATATTTATGCTTTATTGATAAAAGTTACCCAAAAATTGTAAAAGTGACCCTAAATTTAATAAAAAGTGACCCCCGATGTACAGTCAATTACTGTACACCGAATGTATACAAAAGTTATTCATAAAAAGAAAGGTAAACGTAATTAAACACTTTTTGTTTTTCTCTTCCAAAACCTTCTCCAAAAACGCCATTCTTCATTTCTCCATGGATGATGCTCTTGGTAAGTTTCCTAGCTGTGCATGTCAATTGTACCTTCTTGTCTTTCATGCTCACATGTATCATTTCAAGGGAAAATTTAGTATACGAGTAAAAATTAAGCAATTTTCAAACTGCATATAAATTAGGACATTCTTGTTACTAGTTCTTTAGATTTAATTATGTAAAATAATCATGCTTGTGCAAACCATGAGGGAAAAGATTAAGTTTATGCATCATTTAGAACAAATAATAGATAATAAAAGCATCTATCTTCAATAGTATACACATGTATAAAATTTATCTACTTTAGATGTATATTATATAATCCTATTTTATTGATTAATAGTAAAAAAAAATAGAATTAAAGGTAAGATAATAAATGATGTATGGAGTAATTTTAATTGTAAAACATACATATTTTTATTGTATTTATTTATTTGTTTATAGATTAAAAAGATTAAAATTTAATATACATAATGTGCCATGTCTTCATTTTCCGTTGATAATTTGGCCGGAAAATTGAATTTGTACTTAATTTCACGTATTTAAAAACTAATGGGGTTAAAAATTTAAAATGTCACATTGTAAAGTTAAGGGGGTTAATTTCACTATGAATCTAAGTTAGGGGGTCATATTGCCGCATTTGCCAATCTGCAATAATTATGGTAGTGGGGATAAAGAAGAGAGAGAAAGGTATACAAAATTGCCCATGTGATAAACACAAATTCTAAACACGGCTTTATTTTCAGGGATGTTAGTGTGGCAGGTGATAAGTGGTTTATTAGACCACTATTGTGGTGATTTTAACCCGGTTTTGTAATTTTTTCCTCTCTTTCTAATCCCCTTTTTGTATATAAATGTTGTATCTCGGCTTTGCCACCTCTTTGTATGTGTTTGTCCATGATTGCAGGTATAAGACTAGCTTTGACAAGCAAACAAAGTTCATGGTTCGAGATTAGAGGCAAGATGTGATGGAGGGAGAGGCCGCTCCTAGTGGAGCGGGCGAGCACCTCTACAAGAGCGGGCACTCCTCCAAAGTTTCATGATTCTGCCATGTTTCTGAACCTGTGAGGAGCGGGCGTGCACCCGAGATGGAGCGGGCGCTCCTCCAAGGCTTCAACATTCGGCCATTATTCTGAGAACAGCCGGAGCGGGCGCTCCTAGCCGGTTTGCTAGAATCTGCCTCTGCGAGGAGCGGGCGCGCATCCCCTGGAGTTTTGAATCTGCCAATCTTTAAAGAACAGGGGAGCGGGCGTGCAAGATTGGAGCGGGCGCTCCTGACTGGGAATCCGGGTTACTTTTGACGGACTTCCCTATGTAGTTCGAGGAGTATAAATACTACCCCTTTAGTTCATTTTTGGAGGGCAGTTTTTAGAATAGTTTTCAGCAAACCTCCTCTTAGTTAGCACCTTAGTTATTAAATTAGTTGACGATTTAGTTCGGAAACTCTCAAATCTAATCATTGTAGAAGCAAACTTCAAGGTTAATTCTCAAAATTTCAGCATTTATTCAACATTTGAAGCTTCAATAGTAACTTATTTCACTTGTCTCTACTTATTTTCTGACTTTATTTTGTTATTGCAAGTCACTTGAATCTCTCTTAGTCTTGATAAATTGTTGTTGCACGTTAGTTTTATCCATAGTGAATCACTTTTCCCAAATTTTAGAATTACTTAGAATCCCAACTTGGAACTTTGCATGCTACTCACAATGAATTGTAAGTAGTCCTCTTTGCTAGGGGTTGGGTGAAACTCAACCTAATGGTTAATTAAGTAAACTTGGGAGAAGTATTGATGTTTGATTTGTGATTAAATTGATTGTATGAGATTGCTTGTTAGTTCTTCATGATAGGAGTAGCTACCCTAGAATTTGGAGCTTGATGGCATGTTATGCTTAGTTTGACATGGAAATGTAGATTAAGTATGTCATTACTTATTGCAATTTGATTATGTATCTCCTATTGCTAAACTAATGAGGGATCTAAGTTTAGGAGTGTGAGTTGTTTTCCTAATTGCATGAGGTTGGTCTTACATATAGTCCTTACTATCTTTTATCTCTATTTGCTCCCAATATGCTTGATATCATGGTTGAGTGAATCCCATTCCCTAGCACTAGTAGAATAAAAGAAATAGGCAACCCCCCTATGGCAACGGTTCATGAAAACCGTTGCCAACTTAAGTGAGCGCCACTTTAAATATCAGAATTGGCAACGGTTAACCGTTGCTATTGATTATATTTTTTTTTTTTTTAAAATGATTAAAATTGGCAATGGTTAACCGTTGCCAACTGCGTTTTTTTAAAAAAAAAATAAAAATAAATAAAAGGTAAAGGGTCGGCAACGGTTAACCGTTGCAAAGTTAAAAAAAAACCCGGGTTTTCCCTCTTCCTATTGTTCATCTTCTTCATTCAACAACAAAAAAAAAAATGCAAGTACTGCGTTTTCCCTCCTCCTTCTTCATTCAACTCGCTCCCCTTTTTGTTCCTCCATTGAAGTGGCCTGGTGCGAGGTTTTTCACCTCCATTGAAGACAATTTTCCCTCCTCTCTTCTCCTTAGCACGCTGCTTCATTCAACTCAGCTCCCCTCTTCGTCGTTCCTCCATTGAAGCTAAGTGTTGCGAGCTTTCTCACCTCCATTGAAGCTAACTCCCTCCATTGTCTTCAACCTAAGGTAAGTAGCAATTAGGTTTTACTTATATCCCTCCATTGATGAACTCCTTCGACTTTTTGGTGGATTTGCTTTACAATGTAGTAATTATAAGTTCCTGTAATCTAGGGTTTGTCAATATAGACGCGCATTGCCCCCCCTCCACATACAACAACCTTCTTGCTTGCTCTCACGGTTGGTCTAAGGCGCCATTTCAGGTATAATTTCGAAACCCATTATTCATGACATACAATTATACAAAGTACTCTTTATATTAAGCATTATTGATTTAATGGTATGGTAGATTTATAGTTGTGGTAGATTTATAGTTGTGAATTAAAATATGTTATAGTTAAGTCTAAATTTAATTTGTCTAATTTAAATGTTTGATTTAATGGACTTTGACCTTAATTATATATTGATGCATATATAATAATAAGAGTATTGTTATTGCCTTAGGGGGAGTGTTAGAATGAACCATTTAGGGGGGGCATGCATAGTTTCACATTTGCTTTCTAACTTTAGAGTATCTCCATTTTCTCGTTCTCTTTAATCATATGTCCCTATTTGTATTTATTATCCATTTCTCATACATACTTACTAACTTTTAATTTGTTTTTTGTTTTGTTTTTTCTTTTTGCGTTTTATAGGTTCATATGTGAATTGAAGTTGAACCTAGATAGTTAAGTTTGAAGACTACACATTAATTTAGCTCAAGTGGGAAGTTAGAAAGAATACATCCATTGTGTTGGTATGAATTATAAACTTCTCTAAGCTATAAATATTTCTTTCTCTCTATTATTGTTTTAATAAACGTTTTTTCATGCTAGCTATTAGATTTGTGTATTATATAATGACAAACTAAATACAATAATAAATATATGAAATGTTTGCATCATCATATGCCTAGATACCCGTTCAAGGCTTTCTCATTAGGAGAAAGTCTTGAATAGTCCCCGGTTGGGACTGTTCTTGAACGTTTACTCTCACTTAGGTGGTGAATGTATATCCTTTTTTTCGATTTTAAGGAACATCTTGGCTTACCATTTCCTCGATCACCATGTTCTCTGGGTACATATGTGGGTAAGTAATTACCTACGTCGTGTACTTGGAGAACTGGGGAGAAATGCTGCCGGATTTTCCTTAAAATTGGAAAGTTAACATACATTCACTAGTGAGAGTAAACGTTCAAGGATGGGTTAGGTTGGAGTGATAAGGACCCTTTGGAAGCATATATTCATTTGTGTATGTATATGAAAGTTATATGCATGGTGTGTGTTTGAATTTGATTTATATATATAGTAGATGTAGCAATTATACATTATTATTCGTAATATGTTGCCATGTTTAGAGACAATTTACTTAATGGAGAAGGATCGTGGATGGATGTAGGGGTGAAAGTAGTTTGGATAAAAACCGAAAACCGAACCAAACCGAACCGAATAAGCAATTCGGTTCGGTTTTGTTCGGTTTTCGGTTTGGATCGGTTTGAGAAAATGAAAACCGAATTATATCGGTTTGGATTCGGTTTTGGGATTTTAAAAACCGAAAACCGAACACCGAACCGAAATAAGCCCCATTTCTCAGCCCATTTTCCTACGTATATATACTCAAACCCTAAATTTATAAGCCCATTTCTCAGAATCTCTCAATCTCAGCCGTTTCCCTCACTAAAAGTAAAACCCTAGATTTTCCCTCATCTCTCCCTCTCACCA